TCACAGGACTTCTCTGGTGGTCCACTGGTTAAGAATCCACCTTCCAATGCAGGAGATGTGGGGTTCAACCCCTGGTAGGGGAACTAAGATCCCACAAGCCACTCAACTCAGCCAAAAAAAAAACAAAACCTTAGGGAATCCCCTGGTGGTCCAGTGGTTAAAAATCCACCTTCCGATGCAGGAGACATGGGTTCGATTCCTAAGATCCCCACAAGCCTCAGAGCAGCTAAGCCTGAGCACCTCAACCAGAGGGAAGCCTGACTGCTTCAGTGGAAATCCTGCAGCAACTAGGACCTGACACAGCTGAAAATAAAATAGAGTTACAAAATTAAAAAACAAGAGTGAGTTAAAAGGAAAAATCCCATGCATCCCACAAAACCTGACTCCCATCCTCTCGATAAAAGCACCTCCCCACACTCAGTGGCCGTCCTTGGCCCCATGGGACCTTTGGCTTCCAGGAAGTTCCCATTCAGCTTGACAGTGAAGTGCCCACGCTTTCTCACTGCTGCTGCTGCTAAGTCACTTCAGTCGTGTCTGACTCTGTGCAATCCCACAGACGGAAGCCCACCAGGCTCCCCCGTCCCTGGGATTCTCCAGGCAAGCGCTTTCTCATTAGGGTGAGCATTTAGGTGCATCTCCCAAATTTCAGTGGTTTGCATATCACCTTGACGATGTTGGCCAAATCTTCATACTAGCTCTTCTCCTATTTAGTTAGTGGGAAGATCCCCTGGAGATGGAAATGGCAACCCACTCCAGTATTCTTGCCTGGACAGTTCCATGGGCAGAGAAGCCTGGTGGGCTACAGTCCATGGGGTCGCAAAGAGTATTTTCCCTAAATGACCAGCCTTAGCTTGCCTTCCCTTCTCTCTACCTGCTTCTTTCTTTTCCTTCTTCCCTTCTTTCCTTCAAACTTAGTCTTGGGGACTTCCCAGGTAGTCCAGTGGTTACGATTCTGTGTTTTGTGGGCATGAGTTCAATCCCTGGTCACGAAACTAAGATCCCAAATGCAGTGCAGCGCAGCCAAAGAAATAAGTAAATAAAAGAGAACTTAGTCTTCTTCTAAACAATACTGTCTATGAAATCAGCCTGATGTACCTGGTACCTGTGGGCACACTCTAAAGTCATCTCATTCGCCACCAGGGGAGGGGGCACTGCAATTTGGGAAATATTGGTTTTTTAGGATAAGATGTTTTTTAAGCCACAGATTAACCTTTCCAAATAACCTTGGCACATATTTTAATCAGTCAGCTAGAGACAGGATTTGCAAAATGATTTTATTTTCTTCTTCCTGCTTTCCCTTCACTCTCCCATTTTCAGAATAAGCAGTTATCGCTTCTGTAACTAGAAACGATACATAAACGTCGGAAAATAACTAAGATACCCTCCGCATGTTCCAAACACAGATTGCTGGGTGAGGAGAGAGGAGGAGGGTACATGCCCAGACATTTGCCAAGCTAATCCAAAAGTTATTTACGTGGGATCACGGCAGAGTTAAGGTTCAACCCTCCATCACCCCACGCCCTCCCTCCCTCCGTTCCGATTGTTGGAATTAGAGGAAATTTCATTCCTCCCGCTTTGCTGCCTGAGCCAGCTGTCACCGGGTGTGTGGGGGACAGGAAACAGGATTACAAGATCAACAGTGAGCCCGCCGTTCCAGCCAGGCCGTTATCAGAGCCGTCTCCGGAGAGCCATCTTCCCCACTTGTCACTACCAACTGTGACCTGGGAGTTGGGACCACAGCCCAGACTCAATTCTGAACAAGGGCAAAACCAGGAGTAATGAGGAGTTCTCCCCATTCAGCTTGGATCATATTTTGGAGCATGGACTAAGAACCAAGCACCCTTCAGGCATTCTCTCACATAGTCCTTACAAGAACCCCCAAAAGGGGAAGCTATCTTTATTTATGCCCATTTTACAGATGAGGATACTGAGACTCCCTGCAGTAACATCACTTGCCTGAGGTCACCTGCATACACACAGAGGAGGGACGAAACCCAGGTTTGTCTGACTCCAAAGTCAGGCTCCTATTGGAGCCTCTCTGTTTTGTTCCTTCTCCCCACTAGGGGACAGCTCCAGAGAACTGGGTGGATGACCCTGTCCACTCTCCCAGCCTGGAGAGTGGTCAGTCCAACCCTCTGTTTCCCAATGCAACTCCTCACGTGGCCACAAAGACACACGTGGCTGGGAGGCTGAGAGTTTCAATCCAACATGTCAATCGCTGACCCCTACTGAGGACCAATTGCCTATCCTTCCTTCCATCTCCAGGTGCCTAGGTGGGAAGAAGCCCACAGCCAATGTGCAATAACCCTGGGGACTAGTGAGGGCAGACAGTTCAGACCTAAGCAGAGTCCTCTGCCTAAATAGCTCACCAGGCACGTGGTTCAGAGCTGTAGGAAGAGACTCCAGGATTGCTGACATGAGAGCTCTCAAACACCCGTCCGTCCCCCACTGTCTCTGCTTCCAGGCCTATCATCTGTCCAACCAGCTTCCAAAGTGTGGGGCCCCGGCCTGACACAGAAAAGCAGTGAGGGATCCTAGGAAGAGACACACCCGACCAGGCAGTCTGTGGCCAGAAGCAGCTCCCTGGAGCAAGGAACAGCTACAAGGGGAAATAGTTACAAGGAGGCTTTAATGATGATGGGCAGGAGATGGAAGGGGAGGGGGAAAAGATGGAGCTTAGTTAGACCAACCATGGTGTTCATGGGGCCAAAAACAATGGATAGAAGACAGATTTGGAGCCACCCCTTCAGCCTGAATGAAAGGGAGGGGACTCCGGTGAGGAGCAAAGCTAGGGGGCGTGGCCAGGCTGATGGGAAGGGCGTGGTCAAACACAGCAAGGCGTCTGCACCTGACACAGAGGGCAATAGGAGTGTGTGAGGCTGTGAAGAAATGTGTTTTGTTTGTGCTGTACAAAGGTGTCTCTGGGCTTCCCTGGGTAGCTCAGCTGGTAAAGAATCCGCCTGCAATGCAGGAGACCCCAGTTCCATTCCTGGGTCGGGAAGATCCCTTGGAGAAGGAAATGGCAACCCACTCCGGTGTACTTGCCTGGAAAATTCCATGGACAGAAGAGCCTGGCAGGCTAGAGTCCATGGGGTCACAAAGAGCTGGACACGACTGAGCGGCTAAGCACAGGGACAAGATGTCTTTGGCAGCTGCCTGGGACATGTCTGGGAGGGGAACAGAGCTGATGTCAGGCCTAAGGAGGCTAGGAGGCTGGGGCAGGTGAGGCTGCTGGTGGAAAGGCAGCCTGGATGGAAAAAGGAGGTGAACTGCGAGACATGATAAGGTGGTAGCATCTCCAACACCAGGTGACTGGGTAAGACTGAGAGCGCTACTTGCAATACCTTAAACCCATAATCCCACCTGCCCTGGACCTGGTGGAAAGGAGGGAAGAAGTAGTGGACGGAAAAAGCCCTTCTGTCCCCAGCTGCACAGCCTGGACCCCCACCTGCAGGATGACCAAGATGAGACTGTCCATCAGTGGCTAAGCTGCCATGATGACAAGATGACCATCAGGACAGGTTGGGGTTTAGACACTGTATAAACAAACACGTGGCTCCCTGAGCCTACAGCTGAAAATAGTTTGGCCTCTTTCACCTTCAAGTGATGTTTGTTATCAACTTTTCCACCCACCACAGGCTAAATTCAACTCCAACTTCCAAGGGAAGACACATAAAGCCAAAAATGTTTCTAAATAATAATTTAAGGACTTGGTTATTTTCACCACATAAAGCATCTTACAAGTCCACCATCATGAAAGAAACCAGTTATGAATGCAGGAATTCATGAGTCTAGTGTACCTGTTCCACCTGAAGTTAATCGCATATTTATTTTTTAAAAGCATGCAAAATTAGATCTGCTAAACCTGCTATCTGAAAAAGATTTCTACAGCATGTTATTTCCAAACCCAACATTTAAACCACAAAGCTGTGGGACCTTTCTCTCCTTCTTCTTCTTGGGTCTCTTGTCCTCCTTTGAATGAGTACACGTGTCCATCCACCCAACCCTCCCTTTTCAGGTTTTCCAGAAAGGATAAGGATAAGCTTCCTAAATGACCTCATTTTATTTTGAAATGCTAAACCCACCAAAATGGGAAGAAAAAAATAACATTTCTTGGTCAAAATGATCGAGATGTATTTCGAATTCTCTTGCCATATGGTAAGTTATTTTGGATCCCTACCAAGAGAATATTTGACAAAATTGGCAACGCTTGTACAATCCTTTCAAATCAGACCAAATTCCCACTATGTCCATTTGCCACAGCCCCTTCTATTCATCATATCAGCGACCAAGACCACAGGATATGTAAAAAGACCAAGCAATTTTTATCACCAGCTTCTAATCCACCACCCCCACCCCATGCCAGGGAGACCATGTGGTATCAAGCTTGTATATCACCCCACGGAAATCAAGCCATTAACTCTCCTTTCATTTACCAAGAGCTGTTGCCAAAAGAAAATCATTCATCAGCTGTGACTTATGGGAAGAAAGAGAGAGAAGACTTCACTAGAGAGAAAGACAGCAGAGAAAGAGGAGAAAATTGTAGCTTTTGCTCCCTGGGCAGATGGAGACAGTCAAGTTCTCTCATACACAGTCTTCCCCAAATCTACATGCTCCAGAGTGTCTGATAGAGGAAACCACATCGAGGGTTTGGTTTACGCCGTAAAAATCCCACCTGCAATGCAGAAACTGCAGGAGACACAGGTTCAACCCCTGGGTCAGGAGGATCCCTGGGAGGAGGACACAGCAACCCACTCCAGTACTCTTGCCTGGAGAGTGCCATGGACAGAGAAGCCCGGTGGGCGACAGTGAAATGACTTAGCATGCACTTGTGCACATGAAGGGTTATCAGAAAGTGGGATTCCAGAGGATCTTTCTCGTTTCTCGATGACAACGGGGCCCCATTTCTCTGTGCCTGGTCTTGCGGGGCTGCTGGCTCACCTGGGCTATTGAAGGGCAAGGGATGCAGAGAGCAGGGAGCTGAGGATCCCACTTCTTACCTTTGCATTCTTGACATTCTGTGTAGCTCCATGTCATCACTGCCCCGGAATCCTTTGGCGAAGGGATTATTCTCAATCTTTAATTGGGTGATCTGTAGGAGGCAGAGAGAGAGAGTTCCATGTTCACTTGGTTGCTATAAAACCACCTGGGGACCCGGTTAATGATAAGTGTCATGGAAACACAGTCTCTGGCAACCCAAAGAAGCAAATTAAGCCTGTCACGTCAACGGGACCCACCACTGCATTCAAAAGGAGGCTCTGAAAAATGTCCTAGATCAGACTGTCTTTAAAAGGGGAGGAAAAAAAACCTGGTTTCAGCTTGCCCGTTAATTGGAGTCATACTCTGCATCATTCCAGCCAGATTGGCGTTTTTGTCTCAATCATAGCATTTTGTGTTTCAAACACAATGCAGGCCTCAACACTTGGTCCTCCACCCCCTTGGAAAACTGTACCATGTTGACACGATGTCAGTTTCCTGCAGCGTGGCAATCTCCATTGGGAAGGACTTGATTATTGCTCTCGAAATCCTACTATGCCTCATTTCACATTCATTTCATAGTTTTCACAGAGTTTGCTAGCTCCAGTGAAAAGGAGGGCGTCTAATTAAATAAAGACTAACATATAGAATTATAATATACATGAGAGCTACCTAACAGCCCCAAACCTCTTTAATTATATAAGGAAGAAAGAATCGTCTTCTGGGAAATTTTCGTTGCAATGTATAAAACTCAGTGACAGAACGGGGTCTTTCGGTTCAAGGTCCATCAACACATATTCTTGAAACCATCAACATATTCTGTTAGCATTGAATGTACAGGAGCAGATCTAGGTAAAAGAGTACATCCCTATGAAGTTTGCCAGAAGTATGTCCCAAAAACTGTGTGTGAATTGAATTTTTATATATCAGATCACTTTATAGACACCAAGGCAGTGTTCATCAGAGGTCATTCAAAAATCACTTCATCATCATTATACCTATATAGCCTTGGTCTACTAATCTGTTTAATATTTTTATTAAATCAAACCACTTTTTTTTACTTCTTAGTATTTTGTTTGTTGTTGTTTAGTCACTAAGTTGTGTCTGACTCTTTTGCAAGCCCAAGGACTGTAGCCCACCAGGCTCCTCTGTCCATGGGATTTTCCCAGGCAAGAATACTGGAGTGGGTTGTTATTTCCTTCTCCAGAGATCAAACCCACATCTCTTGCATTGACAAGCGGATTCTTTACCACTGAGCCACCAGGGAAGCCCAGTATTTTGTTTATTTTCAGTTTAACTACTGAATTATAATTACTGATTAAAATTTAAGATAGTTATAATTATGTTCTGTTTTTACTATTTTTTTATTTATTCTTTCATATTTTTGGTCTTACTTGGATTGATTGTATGTATTTGTATTATTTCATTCTTCTTCCTCTACTGGCTTCTTAATGATTCTCTTCTTTTAAAACTTTTTATTTTGTATTGAGTGTAGCCAATTAACAATGTTGTGATAGCTTCAGGTGACCAGAGAAGGGACTCAGCCATACAATATACATGTATTCACTCTCCCCCAAGCTCCCCTTCTATCCAGGCTGCCATATAACATTGAGCAGAGTTCCCTGCGCTGTACAGTAGGTCCTTGCTGGCTATCCATTTTAAATAGACCAGTGTGTACATGCCCAAAATCAAACCACTTTTTATTTAAATCTATTTTATAAATATACTATATCACTTTTCTATATGTCAAACTGGAAATACTTGCAAGTCAATAAAAAGATAACAAGTGTTATCAAATTCTCTCTACTGGTACCCCTAGAAAGTTCCAAACTTGAAGGCCAACCTTCCCTTTGTTGCAAGAGAAAATTTGACACTTTTACAGACATATTTAACATAAACTGGTACCAAAGTAAGTCTCCACTTTCTCTAGTAGATGAATAGAAAGATAGTTAGAACAAGAACAGATTATTTTCCTATAGTTCCATCATCTTCAGATCCACACAGAGTCATCTTTTCTACCCCCAGTAGCATCTTTACAGACTTCAAGAAACCAAGAAGTTGCTTTGAGAAACTAGGCATAATTAAGGAATGTACAGATCTGTCCATTTGGGGGCAAGAACGTTCTGTTTTCTGCTAGACATGGTCTTATAGCATTTCCTTCTAACCCCAGGACTCTGTCATGAATATAAAATTACTATATGTGAGTCTGTGTGCTCACAATAAAATATATATACACTTAACATTTTTTAAATGTTATGTGATTCCAACCGTATGACATGTTGGAAAAGGCAAAACTAGGGAAACAGCAAAAAGAGTATCAGTTGCCAGGGGTTAGGAGGAAGGGGAAAATGAACAAGAGAAGCATAGAGGATTTTTAGGGCAATAAAACAATTTCTGTGGGATACATCATGGTGAAGACGTGCCATTTCACATTTGTCTAAACCCACAGAATATAGAGAATTCCTTGGTGGTCCAGTGGTTAGGACTTGGAGCTTCTACTGCAGGGGACACAGGTTTGATCCCTGGTCAGTGAAGTAAGATCCCATGAGCTGCATGGCACAACCGAAAAAAAAAAACCCAAAAAACCACACAGTCTACAACACCAAGAGTGAACTCTAAGGCAAACTACAGGCTCTGGGTGATGATGTGTCAATGCAGGTTCATCAGTGGTATCATATGTCCCACTCTGGGGGTGGGGGTGGGGGTGATGCTGTTAGTAGGAGAGGTTGTACATGGTGGGGGTAAGTGGACAGAGGTTATAGAAGCCTCTGCTTCCCACTCAATTTTACTATGAACCTGAAACTGTTCCAAAAATATAAAATCAACTTTAAAACTTTTAAACAACGCATGGGCATGTCTATGTATACACATTCCCTTCTCCTTCCTTTTTTTTTTTTTAACCTGGTAACCCATTCCTGTAACTTTCTGACCTCAAATCGACTCTTCAGAGTATGTAAAAACATCTGTAAAACCTCTCTGGAAAACAGAAGAGACTGGCACAACACTGTAAATCAACTTTACCTCAATAAAAAAAAATTTTTTTTAATACAAAATCTCTTTGGATAACAATCTTGAACATGTGCATTCCTCAACTCAGCCCCATCACCTAGCGGGGCTTTCTTTCTCACACCAGTTTTATGACAGCAAAATGCAACCATAAAACCATAAAGCATTTTTAATGGTGAGGGGTGGGAGGGAGAGATTTTCAAAAGTTGAGTAAAAATTAGATCATTTTTAAAAAGGGTGGAGGGAATCCTTATCCTGATTCCTATGCCCCTCAACCACCCATCCAGAGACAGAAGCCAGCCCCTGAAAATACTGAGGATAAGACGACAATAGGGGTGGGGCAACTGGGCTGAATTAATGCCTATTCCATGACATCGCTATTCCACAGAAACACACACAAAATTACCCAGAGCCAAAAAAGAAAAGGGTGGGTTTTGGTACTTTATCAGCAAAAATCTTTTGCTTAAAAAAACTTCTGCTCGAAGTAAGCTTAGATGCAGGTGAAAAAAAAATGCCTATCTTATTTCATACTAGTCCTCTCATTTACCATAACCCTGTCTATGAAATCTCTTGCACCTCAAACAGAATAACTACTGCCTAATTCTTGTTCTTATACCATACCTCCCAAAAATATGTCAGAGGATGCGCAGACCTGGTGAGACATACACTGAGATGTGTGGATCTCACCTACCTACCTCGCTCGGTAGATTTGAGGATAGATGGCTATGGTCGTAAGAATTACCCCTGAGAAATCTTAACATGTAAGCTTAGGGGCCGGTGAAAATGTCTATCTTATTTCATACTAGGCCCCTCATTTACCATAATCCTGTCTATGAAATTCCCTTCTGAACGTGGAGCTAGTCACGCACGGGCACACAAACCCATACACCTGGATGTCTGCGTCCTACCTAAAGGCTCCACTGAAACTGACTTCCATGCGTCATACAAATGTACTCCCTCCAAAATCAGCATAAAGCCGGATATCCGGGGGAGGGACCGAGCGGGAGAAAAACAAATATAAATGCCAGCTCCAACCACTGAGACAGAGGTTGTAAAAATTAATGAGAATAATTGTTGTGAATTCTCGCTTTTGGGAAGAAAAAAAAAAAAAAACCCTCACGAGGGCCAAAAATCTTAATTATGTCTTTCTATTAGGGGTTCATTTCCTGGTCCCAACCAGAGAGCTCATACCTCATAAATACAGGCTCCATACACAATGATTTAAACAGGAGGAAAATGCCTTTTAATGGCAAAGTAAGTTAATATTGAAGGGAGAGACACGCTTGCATACAAAGCCATTGTTGCCTAAGCAGGGAAATGAAATGCCCATGTGACCTTTTTTTTAACACCTAAATATTTCTAGGGATTGCCCTGGGAGCTGCTGACAACTGCGGCGCAAACCTTACAAAAACCTGTTTCACAGAGTGAGCGTCGCTGGGGAAGATTCGAGTGTTTAAATATCTTTCTCAAGCTGTCAACCATCTGGGGAAATAACCCCCAAATTCAGCTTGGGATCACAGCTGGGCTCAGGAAATACGTCGTATCATTAGGAGCCCCACAGTAGACAGGTGTGTGATGGCAGTGTAGGAAACGAAGCCTGGCCACGTACCTGCCTCCACCCGGTACCTACAGGCAAAGATGGGTCTGGAGGCATAAGCCCTCTGGGCCAGAACTTGGTGGCTTGCATATTTCCAACAGACTCGATGGAGGTGAATTTGAGCAAACTCCAGGGGCTAGTGAAGCACAGAGGAGCCTGGCGTGCTGCGGTCCATGGGGTCGCAAAGAGTCAGACAGGACTTTGCAACTGAACAACCACATTTTTCCAAATTGTCCTGGCAATTCAATCACATAGACTGCTTTTCTTTCCAAAGCATAATGCCAGGCAAACTGTCCTTGGACTGACAGAACAATCAGGGCATGAACCAGTTAGTCCACAAAGTAGTGGTAGCTGTGTTTCAACCACAGTAATAAGAGCTTATTTAAAAATCTCAGCTTTTCAGATTCTAAAATAGGATAGGCAAAGAGTTTTCCAGAACCTGCATTTTGGATGGAGTTGCCCCGTTCCTGTTAACTGATCAGTGATGAAGTCCATCATGACTCATCACTAACAACCTGTGCTGACTCTGTACCCAGGCTCTGCATGATTACCCGTTCCACGGATTAGTTGATTTTAATCCCCACCATGATAATAACCAAAAAAAAAAAAAAAAAATTCTCTTCTTAGTCCCATTTTACAGAGGGGGAAAACTGAGTTAAATAATTTGCCCAAGTCAGATAGATTTGAACCCAGCATCTACCGCCAGATTGTGACGCTAACACATACACAAGGACAAGGAACAGCCCAGGTGGCTTTTAGCCACAAAGCCAAGAGTCTCAACACCCCATCCAGGTGGGACAATAAAGTAACAAAGCAGAGTCCACAAATCACAGTCAACCCAACTGCCCTGCTTATTTAAGTCACACATCATATATCCACGTGGGGAATGTCTGCAGGGGCCTGAATGCGACTGGAAAAATACACTGCTTTAGACTTCCTCCTGACAAAGAAAATAGGTGTTTTTGGTTACTTGATAACTAAAAAGTGGGGAAAACCTCATGCGGGAGAGAATGCTTGAAAGTCATCTCCTCGAGTGCTTGAAATCCATATGGATGCCAGTTTGGCTTAAAAAAAAAAAAAATCTGCATGTACAGCTCAGCCTGGCTCCTTGGTTCAACCAATTAAGAAAATCAGTAATTCCTGTGTGATCCTCAAATACACCTATATTCATCACTCAGCTGATCATGGTCCTTATTTCATGACGTTACATCAAAGTGTGATGCTGTATATCTGAAACTCATACAGTGCGTGTGTCAGTTATATCCCAATAAAACTGAAGGAAAAAACAAGCAAAATAAAAAACCACACATATTCAAATGCATCTTTGGAAACTCATGTTTTGGAACCCATGAGCATTTAGATACACAATCTCCTAGACTGTGTTCAAAACTTACACGTACACACCCCACTGGACAGGCACTCCACACACACAGATGACCAAATGCATGCATTGAAGAAGACCTTTAAATAAAATAAAATCTAGGGGGTGTTGAGTGTGTTCACAAGTAACTACAGTGATAGTTTCATGGATATGCACATATGTCAAACAGCTAACTGAATACTTCAAATAGTGTGGTTTATCATATGACAGTTATGCCTCAACAAAGCTATAAACAGAGAAAGACTGTGTGGTCCCCCAAATCTACCCACTCCTGAGGAACCCCTAAGGTCTTTATTATTAATATATAAAGCTTGGGGATTTCCCCCAAAGGACCTGAACACTCATGTGTTTCTTTACCAGGCCACTTTCATATGTCTATCACTTCCTGTCCCCTCTCTCTGGGTGAACCTGGGTTTTCCTGGCAGGAAAAAAAAAAGATTCAACATATTTTTGGAGCCTGTGTCAAGACTAGGAAGCTCTAAGCACATATACACACACACATACACACACACACACACACACACACACACACACATATGGGGAACTGAGCATTCCGGTGGCTATTTTTTCCATTTTTTCCCCCCTGTAGCCGTCACCACAAAGTTAAACATAGGTTTACAGCAACCATAGAGGAAACAGGTTTCTAGAAGCCAGACTCAAATTAGCCTGAAAGAGCGTAGCAACTTTCAGGGCACTTGACCCTACCTTTTTTTCTCTTATTGGTTAAAGTGGGAAGAAATTTTAAAAAAATAAAAAAATAAAAAGCCCTTCTTTTCCTTTAAAAAGTAATCACATTTAGGGGGCAGGAGGGAGTGTGTTTTCTGCTGAAAGGAAGCTTGCCCAAGGCCTGGGATCCCGAACAGGCCGTGTGGCCTGCAAGGGACCATCCATCACAGCTTGGCTTGGTCACTGACAATCTGAATTTGGAGATTACCCACAGCATTTCATAACTGCCCTGGCTTCATTGGGGGTGGGGATTAGCCGACACACAGTCTGCACGAAATGACCTTCAAGGGGTGGCTGGAGGCTTTAGGGTGCTAAGCCCATCTCTCACTCTAACCTGGCCTCTCCAGCCTGGCCCCCCAGCCTCTGCAGCCTCCCCCCACCCCACTTTTCTTTTGCCCATGGGGGAGGGATGAGAGCTGTAGAGGGGGAGGGCACCCTAGCCCCCTGTCCACCTCCGTAAATCGTCCACATGACCCACCCTCATGGATCTCATGTGGACTCCCCCCACCACTTTCCCCTCCCACAGCCCCTAACCCCAAATCACTTCACAATATTCCAAGAGTCTACCACCCCAGAAGGGGGCAGCGATGCCTCCCCAGCCCCTATATCTTGCCTTTCCCTCTTTCCATAAAGAGGTTTAGGAATCATTCAGTCCTGCCCTCCCCATGCCAATAAAATGAATCCATGGGCACTTGGGTTTCTAAAGAACAGACATGAACCATGACACGTCAAGATGAGCCCTTTCTCCTGAGCAAGAAGACATCTACCCCCCAAACTGCAGTTAGGAAGGCATCTTATTCTAGCATCACTGTCAAGCTCTGAAGGACCAAACTGGGGCCTGAATTTCAAACAGCGTGGGGGTCTGACGGTGACACAACCCATCTGCGACATCCCACCTCTACACAACACTGCAGCCACCAAACAATGAGCTGGCCTTGTGCACGTCTCCCCTCACCAGGTTGTGTCTTGGCCGGATCTTATTTAAGTCCCCAGAGCTTCGATTCAGGCAGCTGGTGACACAAGTTTCTCAGCTTTTGCTTTTGTTTTAGCAATGCCAGTCTTGCTTGAGTATGTACTTTGGGGTCAGTCATTACTGAAACAATTAAGAAAGCATCTGGGAAGGTCCAAACTCAAGGTTTCCAGCAACTCAGCCACCTCCCCTGATGGGAGCTGAAATGCATCCAAAACGCAAAAGTAGAGGAGGAAAGGAGACCGGCCCCCCACAGAAAAGGTGGCCCCAGGCAGGGTGGCACCAGGTTCCCCACCCAAGAGCACCGAGCGCGTCAGTGCGGGGACCTTACTTTTCACTGATCTTTCACCACTACAGGGGGATGACTTCTTGTTGCATGTGAGGATAAGTACTGATACCAGGTGGTCAGCTACGGTTTGACAATTTCCATCTAGTGTGTGGGAGTATGACTTTCATGCCACGCCTGTGAATACAGTACAAACAGCTGTGATCCTTAGGCTGCAGCTCTGTTCCTGCCCCAGGCCCCTGGACAGAAGTTGGTGCCCACTGTAGGGTGGAATAAAGGTGCCCAGAGGCTTAAGGTTTTAGCAGAAGCCCCCTGCGGATTCAAGCAAACAAGTAGGTGACCCCAGGCCTGCTGGTTCCTGGGTCCTGAGCTTACCTTGTGGTTCTGGTAGGAAGTCACCGCAATAAACGCAGTCTCAGGAAAGACGTGGGTACAGAACGCGGTGTTTTTTGAGCCAAATCCATTATTTTCGTCCGCTTTCACGATGTGTAATCTTGGCTGGTATTTATGCATGGAATTTAGAATAATCTAAAAATAATAAAGAAAATGAGATGGTAAGAAAAATCAAACCCCCTTTGTTTCCATAAAACCCCACTCTCCACCCCAAAATTACGTTCCTTATATAGACTCTCAAAAACAGGTTTGATTTTTTTCCCTCCTGTTTTTGAAAAGAAGCCAGTGATTTCATTAAAAAGAAACATTTCAAAAATGACAATTTCCATCTGAAAAAGCCACGGTAATATTCCTGGAATCTACCGAAAGCACACGGGGTAGTAAATCAGAATTCTTAATAAAGTTTGCTTAATAAATTAACTCTCTGCATAGGGCACTTCCCGCCCCCCTCCTTGCGAGTGAAGCAAGTTTGGGGAATTGGTGCCACCAAGGAAGTCTGGGCAGCAATTGTGGAATGAAAGGAGCACAGAAACAAATATACATACAAATAACCACCCCTTCGCCGCCCTCCCCCTCCAAAAAGAAAGTTCAAAGAGATGCAAAAGAAGAGACCAAGCATTTGCAGAACTGGAGGAAAGAAAAATCACCGGTTTGGTCCTTTGTTTGGAAAATGTGCAAAGGGGAGTCTATGAAGAAGAGAGGAAAGTGGTGGGAGGGGGTGTGAGATGGGGGGAGAAAGAGCCCCCCCTAACATCAAACAGGGGCCTGGGTGCCCTCAAGAGTCCCTTTCTCCAATTTCACAACATTTCAGGATCCACCACTGGAATTATCTCCAGACTTGGCCCCAAACAGAACTGGGACATCCTACTTCGTGGGCAATATTTTCCTCCTTCCTTTCTACCTTCTCCATGTTTGGGGAGGGGGTCTCGGGGACCAGTGGGGTCTCCCTGTTCTCGCTGTACTATGATTATAACCACCACAGTGAAGACCAAGAGGGGTCTGCAGGCACCACTCTCTCTGGAGCAGGACCAACAAGAGAAGACGAGCATCCTTACTAATAAAACCGAGTTTGTTGTCTGATTGATACCTTGCAGTTTTGCAGCTGCCGAGAGGCTGGTAACGCTAATGTTGGTCAAAACGTTCTAGAGCTATACCCACCGAATGGGCTAACCGCCGCGTTTCCTGAGCTGAAAAATCTGGCCTGGTTTTTCCCCAGGATCGCGACACTGAGCGGCAGAGAGAGTCTCAGTGTCTTGATTATTTGCATGGATGACCCTGGGGCAGGGTGCCTGGGCCAACCCTTGAGACCCGCCTGGAGGAGGGGGAGGGGAGCGCGGCCCGACCCGATCGGGGGAGGGGCGAAAAAATACTCGGGACCCCGCGGCTCCCCGACCCCCGGGCCGCGCGGCTCTAATCTCCGGCCGCCGCGGCCCGGCCGCCTCCCCGGCCGATAGCGACGCCGGCCCGGGCGGCTTGGCGACAGAGAGACGCAGCGGGGCCCCACGGGCCGCCGCAGCCCCCGGCCGGCGCGGCCATCGTCCCGGCTTAGCCAAATTGCTTTGACGGCCAGGGACAGTGTGGAGACATCAGCGCGAGGGCGATCTAATGGCCCTTAATTTCATTAGGGCGGCTTTGGATTCCGAGTCCGGAGTTTAGGATGGGAATGCGTGGCAGCTCCTCCGCGGGCTCGGAAAGACCTGCAACTCGCACGGGCGCGCGGGGCTCGGGCGCGGGGCTGTGCGCGCGCCCTCCCTAGGGGTCTACCCCAGCGCGACCCCAAAGGCACACGCAGGGCCGCAGAGGGAAAGCTACGAAGCCCAGACCAAGGATCCACGGAGGCCCCCACCAAGGGCTCCTAGCCTCTAGAAGGATGCCTTCCCAGGAAGATGCAGGCAGGTCCTTTACAAAATGGTCCCCTCTCTCTCCGTCGCTTAACCTAAAGCCTCCCTCAGCATGCTTTCCTGAACCTAACTGCCGGCGCCCGCCAACACGCACACAAGCTGGAGATTACATCTGGCTTGGCTGCACCACTAACTGGACCCTGTCGGCAAAATGCCCGGTTTAAATGCAAAGGAGGCCCCAGCATTTGGCCCAGAAAACACCCACCTCTGCCCCTTTGCAACCGCTTCCTACAGCGTAGAAAGGTATTGAACCTTCTTCCTTCTCTCTGCTCTGCCCTAGCGGCCAGTCCGGCCTCACACCAACCACGTGTAGAGCGGCACTGAAGGCATCAGTGAAGAACCTGTGGTCCCCTTCCACCACTGGACCCCGTGGGCTCAGGGCATCAGCCCTAAGGCCTCAGGAACCTGATTTCTCATGTGAACCTTCACAAACCCTCCTCCCTCCTGACCAAATGCATCTGCACCCAGGTCCCTCATGTCCCCAAACTGGGGACCATGTGTTGATCTTCTCTCTAAACAGATGGAGTGGCAGGACCCCAATCGCTTCTGGAATTAGACCTAGCCTCACATCCTCCTTCCTAAATACAAGCTGTGTGACCTCGGGCAGGTCATCTTCCCTTCCGTGAGCTCCCAGTTACAAATGCTGTATTTCCATCCTCCTCTCTAAGCTGCTCTGAGGGTCAAATGCCCTGAGACGGATCAGCCCACTTGTTTGGTGGAATCAGCAAACTAAAGGTTCTGAACTCTGAATTCAGAGACTGCGTTCTGTCCTGGTGATCATGTCCAACGAAGAGATTTAGGGATGTTTCCCCCCAAATCTATGTTCTGTTGGTTTTTCTTTGGGGGAAGAAAGAATGATACCCTATAGAGAATCTGCTTGCTAGGACCTACACATTCTCTTGGAAGGCAGGAGACCACACCCGCAATATCTTGCAGTTTCAGGGGGTTCCCCCAGCCCCTGTCTCTTAGGGTCAATCCAGACTCCAGGTGTAACAGCCTGATCTGGGCTTGCCCACTCTGGGCATGGTGGGAGGAGAGGGAAAAGCTGGAAACTGGAACAAACAGATAAACCCAAGAGTGTCAAGCTCAAAGGGGCTTGAGTACCAGAGTCTGCCTCTGGGGGGTTGGTCTCCCCATCTGTAAAAGAGGAAGCAGAGAGTCTAGGGTCTCCCTTTCAGCTAGAACATCCCGATGATAAGAGGATTTGGAAGGCAGTAGGTAAGGCATTGGCTTCCCTGGTGGCTCAGTGGTAAAGAATCCACCAGCCAATTCAGGAGATGTTGATTCCATCCCTGGGCTGGGAATATCCCCTGGAGAAGGAAATGGCAACCCACTCCAGTATTCTTGCCTGGGAAATCCCATGGACAGAGGAGCCTGGCGGGCTACAGTCTGTGGGCTCACAAAGAGCTGGACACAACAGCAAAGAGCTGAACAACAACAACAAAAGGTAAGATATAAGGCTTCCACTGTGGTCCAGCCTTTGTGATCTGTGCCGAGTACTCACCAAACTAGAGGGCCCATGTTTTCTGCAGGACCGCCCCAGTCCCTGATCACAGATGGGGCTGAACAAACAGGAATTCCAGGCCCGGAATGAACAGCTTTAGTCACCCCCACATCCCCCGTCCCTCAGCAAAAGCAGATGGGTTGGATGCTGGCATCAGAGATGCAGGGTGAGCCCTGGGCCAGGAGAACCGGGGGCTCGATCACCAGCCAGCCGGGAAAGACACACTCCAGAGCGTGGATTAATGGACAACAGGAAGGACCGCCAGGGGCAGACGTCTGAGCAGCAGAGAGGTGGAGAAAGCCAGGAAGAATTAGAAGGTGTGAGAAATAAGAGAAAAGGAAAGAGAGATGAAAAAAAGGCAAGGAAAGGGAAGAGAGAGTAGGCCGGGTCAAAAAGGTAGACAGAGAAAGAGGCCAAGGCGGCTGAAATGGAGCAAAGAAAGAAGCGTGGGTGGGCACAAGGAGCCAGGAAAAGAAAGTTCTGGAGAAGAGCAAGGGGAGGGGAAAGGTGAGAAAGAGAGGTGTGGACCTGCTGATACAAGAAGGGACCGCGGGAGGTACTCACATGCCCAAACGGGTCCAGGTGGTTGTTGGTGAGCTTGAGTTTCTGGAAGGAGACAAGCTGTCGCATCCAATGCGCCCCCGTGGCCGGCGAGTCCGGGTGCACGTAGAGGCGGCCCGGCATGGCGGGTTCCGCTTTGCCCGTCACAGACCTAGACCAAGGAGAGGCGCCGTCCGCTAGACTTAGCGCACCGCGGAGCCGGCTGCCTCGGGAGCCAGCGACGGCGGCGGAATAGGAGACAGATCTGGAAATGGCCTGACCCTCAGGTCTTGCTCGGGCACCTACAATGCCAGATGCCCAGAAAGCCTAGAACTGGTGTCCAGGTGAGAATTCCCCCCGCCCCACACTTGACCAACTGACTTGCTCTTTCGCCTTCCACCTAATTCCACCTAATTCCTTCCCCAACACCAAGGGCTCCATCTCGCAGCGTCTGCCCACGAACAACTGGTGCATTCTGGAAAGCTTGGATGTGCAAAAAAGTCTCGGGGGAAAAAAAAATCCTTGAGGGCTTTCCAAAGGGGCTTCGTCCTCAAGCCTCTGCACTCTTGGCAGTCAGGGGAGCAAAGTACCCAGAGAATGAACCTCTCCTCTCCTGCCTGTTTAACTCAAATACCCCGGACGGATTTTGCAATTTCATAAAACAGGCATGTTCAAAGCAGGTAACTCATAAAAAAAATAACTGTTAATGGTTTATGCCCCCCAGAAATAGCTCCAACGCTTAGAACAATACCCTGTGTAAAGATCCACAAACCCTCCAGTCCAGCAACAGACATCGGCACTTTACTTCCTCCGAGTCTCAGTTTTCCCATCTATAAAATGGGAGCTACTGGCTGCTCTTTCTTTTTCTCAGGGCGAGGTCAGGAGGATGCAGAGCAGTGGGCAGCAAAAACCTCTAGCACACAGTAGGAGCTCAAAACAATGTTTATTGGTTCTGTGGGGAAAGGGAAGTTGGGTTTGCACGGTCCACCCCACCCTCCCCACCCCGCCACTGTGTTGCCTACCATTTATTATCTGCGAACTTGTATCTGTGGTCATCCGCGGGAACGATGTCCATGAGAAGAATGTACTTCGTTTTGGGATTCAGGCCGGTCACCTTCACTTTGTAACTGGGAAACATCCGCCTAGAAGAGAAGGGGCGGAGGCGGAGAGACAGTGGCAGGGAATTAATGCAAATATTATGAAGATCGCATCTACAAATTTTTATGAAAAGAATACGTATCTTTTAAGAAACGTGGAGGAGATACGGTGGCCCCTGCTCCGCACTTGCCAAGATCCAGCCCAGGTTTCCCTCCAAGTTATGGGAAGAGAAAGGTCCAGAGCTGAGCAAGCAGGCAGGGACTACACCTATCTACCGGGGCAAACAGAAACCAGGAGGATAGCGCTTCTAGAGACTGGTTTCAAAGAGGGCCAGAAAGGGACCCCGCATTTCGATTCTTGCTAAATGCTCCTTTCAGAACCAGACACCTACTTTTTTATTCGGGGGCAGGAAAATGCTTATTAGGTTTAAGGGCGGGAAAAAGTGGCCTGCTTCGCCCAGCCAGGTGTTTCGGCCATTCTGCGCAAAGCTGCGCATCACGTGAGCACCCAGGTGGGTGCGCCCTGGGACTGCCCGCGCGTGGGTGCCCACACAAGGTGCGTCCTGGCTCCAGTCCTCTGCCCTCAGGGTATGGCGCGGCGCGTGACCTCTGACACGAATCTCGGCCAGGAATTCATTCATAAATGCTTCACCGCTTCTCCAAGGCGCTGGCACTCTGACGTGGAGAGTCTAAACGTTTTGGCCCTCCGCGAAGAAAATTTGGTTTTGGAAGAAGACGATCCCTGCGCGAGATCGGGTGCTTGGAAGGAGGTTCCGCAGCCCCGCATGCGCCGTGCCCGCTCCTACTCCGCGCCCAGGCGCACTCCCTGGTCTCCATCCCGCCTCTGATGGAGGCCGCCCCGAAAGCCGATTGGGACGCAAGAACCAGTGGCTGGAGCCTGGCTCGCCCAGGGATGGCGGGAAGGGATGAGGGAGACCTCTCGCTCCGGCCTTGGAGCCGCGCCTCGCGGTGTTTATCTGCCCGAGGGAGCGCGCCTGGAGGCGGAGGCGCAGAAGGCTTCGCAGGCCTTTTATAGTTAAATCCCGTCGGCTCAGGCTGGGGAGGGGGAAAGGAGGCCCCGGCCGCTCTCCTTCCTCGGCGGCGGAATGGGAAGAGGACTTGAGTTCTTTGGTATAAACAGAACGCGCCTCCTCGTTCACTGGGGCCGAGCGGGGGAGCAGACATTGTTTAATTTCAAATAATAATAAATGTCACTGTTGGCAGTTTATTGCGGGGGGCTTGGGCTGGAGAAGCGGTGGGCGTCTGGAGAGGCGGCTCCGTCCGCCCCTTTCACACACTCGGTGGCTCGGGCCTACCGGCTCCTCGGCTTCACACGCCTGCTCCGCGCAGGCCCGGGGCTTTCTGCTTCTTAGGGACGCGGAGGGCCAGTCCAGCGTTGCTAAGGCCGTGGCGGGGTGGTCCCCGCGCCCTGGCGCACGCCAGCGCGCACCCCGACGCTGGGACACCGAGCAGCACGACCCTCCTACCCCCTCCCCCAGAAGTCTCGCATTTCTAGCTAAAACTCTGCGAGCTTTTAAAAGGAACTCTGGGGGTGAGTGTCTTGACGAAACTGCCGTGTTTATCGGTGTCTGTATATAGAGCCCGGCCGAGCCCCGGTTCAGTTTCAAAGGCTTCGCCTCCTTTCTATAAACAATGAAAGAGGTAGCGAACACACTCAACGATTCCGAGGTTTGGCGATCGGGTGCGACCCTGGAACCGCTCCAAGGTCAGGGAGAATGGGAAGGAGGGTCTGGGCGAGGAATCAAGTCTGAGATCCCATGAAACCCAAAGCTCCCCTCTCATCTTTGTGTGTCTCAGCACCTCTCCGTTCTCCCGTGGGCTCTCCCATCTCATCTCTCGTTCTCTCATTACTGATCCATTTAGAGAGCATGGACTCCCAAGCTTCTTATACAGGACGGAGAAGAAATGCCCAGTTTCAAGAATCAAATCTTTTAGGTACTTTATTTCCCTAACACTGATGGCAATCCCTGGAGGAATTCGCCTGCCTCTTTAACCACAATAGAGTTAAACAAAATATATTCATGTCCCATCTCTCTATTCTCCTGTTTCTATTCTCTCCTTTTTCTGATAGCCCACACCTTCCTTCATCTCTACCACAAGTTCCCTGTGCCTCCTCCACAGAGGAGACCCATCTCACCTGCCAGCCTTGGTTATGATCATTTCTGTGCCCACTTCGTGGAATTTCAGCCACAGTTCTCTTTCATGGAGAAACACCTTGATCCCTTCCATGCCCTATAGGAGGAGAGAAAAGTCACACAGAGAAGGCCTGGAGACAATGAGCCTTCGCTCCCCACACTCCCTGAAAACAGAGTTTTCTTCTCCTTTCCCCTCAAGAGAGTGGGCTCATAGGCTGAACCACTGCCCCCAACCCCTATCACTGTCTGGGCTCTGGAGCAGCCCCTGCACAGGAATTTGAGTGTGTGTGTGTGTGTGTGTGTGTGTGTGTGTTTGCACGCGCCCGCGCGCGCTCTTTCTGGGAAGGTCTTAACCCCATGGTACAGATCCGTCTCCTTCTAATGCCACCAACATAAGGCTAGAGGAAAACCCCCCAGCCATCACCATATTCCAGAATGTGCATGGGGAGGAAGGGGCTAAGGAAAAAAAAAAAAAAAGGACCAATCACACTTAGGCAAGAGGCAGCTAAAAGAGAAAAGAGAGAGACCAAAAAAAAAAAGCCTCAATCTCGAAAAACTCAGGATATTCCAATGTAGGCATCCAGATGTCCACATAAAAACACACAGATGTGTGAACACTATATGTGTGTGTTTAATCTCCCCGTGGCGGTGCATATATAGATATAGGTGAAATTTAAAATTTTTAGATGTTTATATAATAGGTTGCCACAGTCCCAAACAAAATTTAATTATCAAATCTCAAATATCTCTATGAATATGCCTCCTAGGCCCTCCTTCCATCCAGCTTCATTCACTTCAAGCTGTTTCGATTATGGGCACAGCAATCTAACATTCCTGATATCAACTACAAGTTTTACAAAACTGATGCATATATATATATACATATATATATATATATATGTATATGTCTTCATTTTGCAATATATATATATATATATATATGTATATGTCTTCATTTTGCAATAACTTGGAAATGTCTAATAGGTAGATTGGTTTTCTCCTGGAAGAAAACCTCTTAAGTTTCTGAAAATGCGTGCCCACTGCTGCGCTACAATATAGGGGCATATTCCTGAGATGGGAAGGGCAGAGGGAGAGGCGATGGAAAAGCCAGGAAGGCCATCGAAATCCCAAAGAAGGGTTTCAGCTACATGCAAGCATCTCTACAGGTCAAGACAACCACTTCCAGCCCTCTGACACCCTGTTTAAAAATTATCGGGGTCTACAGAGGACGCCTTGAGCGCCCAGGGCGCCCGGGTGAAGGGCGCAGAGGCTTCACAATCGGCTGCCACCCAGCTTTCAGCCAGGCGAGCCCGCGGCTCCCCGCGTCCTCCCGGCCCAGCCCTGCGCGCTCCCCGCCGCCGGCCCGGGCCGCGCCAGTTCTCCAAGCCCCGGACGCCAGACAAACGATGCGGCGCGCGGGGCTGGGGCGGCGACGCGGAGAAGGCGGGCGGAGGCGAAGGCTACGGCAGATCTGAAGAGGGGTCAAGCCATCGGTCATGCCGGCCTGAAGCGGCCGCTGACCTGGCCCTTAATGAGGCGTTCAGACCGAGTTTACACCTCATGCAGCAGGAAAGGAAGGATCTGGACCCTTGTTCGCTGGCCCCAAAGAGCCGGATCTTTATGACTCCCCTAACCATTTCCATGAATTCAAAAATCCTATGGCCATAAAGATAATCGTCACAATACAGCGGGTAGAAATACACTGGCATTTGGGGAGGCATGGCAGAGAAGGGTGGAATTGAATGGGGATAAAAAGAAAAAGAGTAATTATGGGCACCCCCCCCACTTCCTCCTCCGCCTCAACCCCTGAATAGAGGGGCTTTGGCTTCTGCCAAGGGCCCCAGGCCCTCCTTACCTGCTGGGTGAAAGCCGCCTGCGGGGACGACGGGGACTTGCTGGGGGCCCCTAGCGCACTCTCGGGTTTGGAGTCGCAGGGTAGATCCTTGGCGTCTGGTTCCAGGGGTGTGTGAGCCAGGCCAAAGCCCTCGTCTGCGTCGGCCATGGTGATCCCGGGGCCCTGCGACCTCTCGGGGTCCTGCTCTGAGGACGGGAAGGCCAGCGACAGGCAGATGAGAGGGGGGCGCAGAGAGAGAAACAGAGAAGGTTGGAAGCACAATTCTGGTGACAGGAGGGGCCAGTTCCTAGGCTGCTACTCGAGGTTTCCAGCTCCCAGCACCTCCTTCCCCCGCTGAAGGAGGCTGCAGAAGGTCCCGTTATTCTTAGCATTACTATTACTTTATGACCACGCACAACCTCTTGCGAAAGCCCCCGCGTCACAGCGGGAGGAGGCGAGGCCCGCATCTCCGCTGCGCAGGCTCCCCCACGATAAGCGAGCTGCCCGTCAAATTTGTCTGGACTCCTGGAAGAGCCAATAAAGATAAGGCCTGGGTATTTTTGGAAGCCATTGGGTACGAACCCAAAACAAAACAAAACACAAACCTACTGCCCTTCTGAGAATTTTTTCTCTTCGTCAAATTACAGGAGGTCAGCAGAGACCTATTGATGAAAATTGGCAACAGGAATATTCCCTGCAGGAGCCGAAATGCCTGAAATAACCCGCCTCTGGCAAAAAAAATCCAAAAACACAGGAGGGGAAAGATCCGCAGATGGAGAGGCCAGGTCCTGAACATTCACGTTCATCTTTTATCAGTTCCGGGCCTTAAACTTACAAGTCCTTTAACATTAAGAGTCCTCCCTTTTCCCCCATTCGTAAGCAATGTGAAAAACAAAAAAGGAGTCAAACAGAAAGGTCGAGAAAGCGGTCGCGCTGCAGTTCGAAGGACGCGCGAGGCCGGGTGCCCGAAGCCAGCGCTGGGCCGCCGGCCTCCGGAGCGCGTTCCCCTCGTTTTTCTCGGCTCTCCAGCCCCAGCCGGGCGTTTTGTCGAGCAGCCTGGCTAAGGGGAGTTTCTCCGAGCTTCAGCCGGGCCTGGTTCGCTGGAACTGCAGGCCTAAGCTTGGGGCTGGCGACGCCAAAGCGGCTCCCGAATAAGTCCTGAGCTTCCGGCGTTGAACCCGCCACTGAGATCCGACGCGAGGCGCCGGATGGCCCAGGTTTTACAGGCATGTGAGGTCGGAACACGCAAAATAACAGCTGCAGAACGGTTCAAGCCCGGAGGAGCCTGCCCCATGCTCTGATCGTCTTCCAATCTCTTCTACGTTCCCAAGTAGGGATTTCCTCCCTCAAAACCCGGGAACGCTGGGAAGGAGGCTCAAGAAATGCCTCCCCCAATTTTAGCAGCCGCTCCAGCGAAAGGCTGGATCCCACTCCCCCGATTTGCCGTGGCCGGAGACCCAGAAATGGTGCGGAGGAGATCGGCTTCTAAGCAAGATTCCCAAGCCGCCTCCTTCACCACGCCCTTGGGGTTCGGGGGAGGCAGTGATGGGAGCCCCGAAGCCGGCTCACAACAAAAGAAAGCAGTGCTGGCGTCCCCACGTGCGCGCCCCTGCAACCGCCGGCCGCGGGGACAATTCCACCCCGAGCCCTGGCCGAGGTCCCGGAGAGCTGGGGGGCTGGCGGGCCCGAACGAGATGCGGTTTGACAGAAGCAGGCCGCGCGTCCTGCAAGCCTCCACGCCTCTCCCCCAGCCCTGGCTCCCTCCTCGGCTCCACGCGCCGGGCAGCTCCGGGCCGCGGAAAATCGCTGCGAGCCAGGCCCTGCAGAATCCCGGGGCCAGGCTCGAGAGCCGCCTTGCGCGCCTCCCCGAGCCGCCTCGGCCGGCGGGCTCCCTCCCCGGCCTCCCGGGCCATCGGCGGAACGGTTACCTCTCTCGGTGAAGCCGGTGCATTCACCGCATTCCTTCTGACTCCTAGCAGGGAAGCCGGCGGCGAGGCGGGGGCGCGGGCATGGTGGCTCCGGGGTCTACGGGGGAGACTGCTTCCCCGGACCGGCGGCAACCGCTGCCTACAAAGGGAGCACCCACCGCGGGAGCCTCGCCGCAGCGACTGCCCACAATCCAACACACACCTCCTGCGCCGTGCGCTCGCTCTCCCTACAGGCTTCCAAGTTGTCGGGCGCCAGCAGGGCTCTCAAGAAAGCCAGAACAGCAGCCTCCCGGAGCACCCCCAGTAGTATCACCTCGATGCCCGGTTCTCCCTTGCACCCCCAGGGAGGGAAAGCTGGGAGACAGGAGGGAGCCTGGGAATGGCTGAAGTCCTTGCCGAGCTCGGCTTTCAGGGTTAAAGTTCCGGAATCCGGGGTAAGTCTCTCTCTCTCTCCCCCTCTCCCTCTCTCTCCCTCTCAGAAATACAAGCCGACTCAGCGGAGCTCAGTGACGTTGGGCTGCCTCGATGCTTACAGAGTACTGAAATTGCCTATCCAACAAGCTTCCACTGCACGCCGCCTGCCTCTGTCTCTCTCTCCCTCCCTCCCTCTCTTCCTCCCCCCTCCCTCTCCCATCCCACTCCCTCCCCCAACCACCTTTTCCATTAGATTTCCCGAACACTCAAATCACAACACGAGTCTCAAACCCAGACCTCGAGAGCACCCCCCTCCTCTCCACCCCCTTCCCAACCTCCATCCATCTCGGCTTCTCTGAGCGCGGCTCGGTGGCTGCGAAAAATCCTGCACAAATCATCGCAAACCCGCTCGCCTTCTGCCCGGAGAAATAATCTCGGTGTCGCGGGCGGTGCGGAGAACAGGAGCCTGAACGCACCAGGCGTGCACACACCCGCCGAGAGCCTCCTCTGCAGCCTGGCCCACGTTCTCTCTCTGCCGCTGACCTCAAGACAGGAGAGCTGCCTGACCTCGCCTGGCCCAGCCTGCCTTCGCTAGCCGCCCTGACATCTCCCCCCTCCCCACTCATCACCCCGACTCTCAGCGACTCCGGGTTGAAGGCAGGGTGAAGGTGCGTTCGGATGGGGGCCGAGATCAAAGATGCCCAAAAATTACCCTGGGCTCCCCCCCCCTCCACTCCCAGAGCCACCAGACCTCCCTGGCTGGAGGTGTACACAGGCAAGTGCCCAGTTTTATTAAAATAATCAAACAGTCACTAGGGGCTGGCTGGAGTTTTCATCTCCACTCGGCTCCTCTCTCTGCCCTCCCCTTGTCTGAAATGTATTATTTGGAGGGTCGAGTTGAAGAGGTCAATAGAAGCGTAAACACAGTCAGTAGGTCTTAGCCTGAGCAGACCCAGCTTGGAAAATCAAGAATTAGTGCTTGGAACAAATGTCAGGGTTCCCGTTTTTATTTCTCCTCCGTATCTCCATCACCCTGATCTTAACTCAGGCTCCATCTAGAGATTCAGGCCTGCAGGCCAAGGTCTGGGGAGAAGGATTGAGGGAGGAGAACCACCCTGGAGATCGGAGGCCACCTCAGAAGACCACAGAAGTGTGATCTTCTGTGGCCCCTGGGAGCTACAATCCCAGGGCAGGCCTGACGTATCACTGCAGAATTCCAGAGTGGAGGACTGTCCAACCCTAAAACTGGGGCAACCAGCGAGCAAACCAACCCCAGCAGTCACTCGAGTTCTCACTCCACCTTCCAGGTTTGCTTTCAAACAGCCTTTCCCTGAGACAGTTTATTTATTTGTGAAAACACCCTCACCCTTTCAAAATGTCAGCTCAGAGAACTTTGGGCTCTCTCAGGGGGCGACCCTTGGTCAAAGATGGAAAACAAACATGGTTTTAGGAGGAGCCGGCATCTAAGCATCTCTGGCAGAAACGAAGGGGAAATCCAGAAAGAGCTCTCCAATCCCTTTAAATTCTTAGAGATTTGCGGATAAAAGAAATTCCCATAAATAATCTGCAGGCCCCTCCCAAGAGGGAGAATCTGTACTCTCCGGAGTAATTGCCTGGCCAGATTCGCTTAGTTTGTGAAGTGTCGATCCTGCGGGCCACTGAGCGAAATTGGGATTTGAAAACTCAAGGGAGAATCCATTTGTGCCAGGTGACACTGGAAGGCAAAATGAGTGCATTCTTATCTAGATAGCGAAAAATCGGGAGGCTGGGAGAGGAGACATTCGGCGAGGCCAAGTCGGGGCGGTAAGCCCAGGGGAAGGTAGGCAGGCCAGTGCTAAGGCAATCCTATGTCCCTCACCCCCAGAGCAACACTCACCTTCAAAAATCCTGCCTCTTCTTTCCAGCGCAAAAGCAGGGAGTGACGCCTCTTTGGAAAGGGTGTGTTCAGGTGGAGAGTTTGGAAAGGACCCCCCCCCCCAAGAGAGACCCCTTCTAAGCCAAGCCTTCTTCCAGCGTCTGTCAAGGGTAGTAAGGTACCTCCCAGCTCGAAGTTGGTTTGTGGTCCTCGACAAATTAAATATTACTGTTTATTACCAGGCATACCCCAATAAAATAAAGAGGCGACCAGGCGATACGGACTATCTCACCAGCCGCTGCACCTATAGGACGTGGAGACGTCACGAGTCACGCAACCGGCCCGCGCGCTGTCACGCTCGATTGGGGGGCAGCGGCGGGATGTTGATTTCTCGAATCCCCGACTTCCCCTACGACTCCCGCCAGGGGTCTGCGCAACCACAAGTCCCAGACGCCTGGGCCAGGGGAAAAATAAAGAAATAAACAAATCCAATGCTCTCTGGGGAAATGGGGGTGGCGGACACCATCCCCAAATAGAGCCAAGATCGATTTTCTTAGGGAGGGAGGAGGGGAGCTTTGGGCGAAGGGAGTTGAGAATCCCACCTCAGCCCAAGGATTAGAAAGAAATCGAGTTGGGGGGGGGGGGGGGGCAGGAATCAAGGTCTCCTGAAGGAGGTTGAGGGAATCTTTTTTTTCTTTTTTCTAATTTTCCCAGGAGGAGCTCTCAGCATTGGCGTATTGAGGCGCCTCTATAGCTGGTTAAGTCTGGGACGCGATAACTCAGTGCCGTTTTGCAGACGTGCATAGAAGCAATTACTGGGTTATCGCAAAGAGGAAAAGAGACCGAGACGTTAGGACGAAGAGTCGTCCCCAGTGTTTCTGCCTGAGAAAAAGCCGCATTCTGCAAATCCTTCTTTAGCTGGGTCTGGGGATGCAGCTAGACCCAGAGTGGCCCGGCGGGGGCGGGGTGCGATTGGGTGGTGGAGGACAGGGGTGGAGAAGGGTGATTTCTGCAGAGAAAAATTGCAGAGCCGGATCCTGTAGAAGTACCAGGCGCTCTATTTTGTTTGGTAATAACGATCATTATTATTATTGGTCTCATCAGTGGACATAGCTTCTAAGCACCCCCATGGCGGATGTGCATAAGCCTTTGCGCGCAGCTGGAAATGCACTGGGTTCAGGGGCGAAACGTACCCCGTAGACGCCCCCGGCGGTGCCGAGAGGAGAGGTAGGCCTACCCGACTCGGAGCGATCGAGCGTCCGACCTTCCGGAAAGGGTAAGTTCCCCGCCGAGGGGCTCCAAGGGAGCCCGAACTTCGGAATCTGGACTCTCCCCCCACCTTCGGGGTTCGAGCCCGGGTTTCCGCGCGCGCCCAGCCCCCAGGGCTTTCCGAAGCGTGGCCTGGCTCCAGGCCCCGTCCATCTGGGGCTGGAGCGGCAGCAAAATGTGCAGGAAGGCAGTCGACCGAGCAGCCTCAGGAGCTAAGGTCAGGCCCGCAGGGAAACCGAGCAGTGGTTTCCAGCGCCGGACGCGGGCGCGCCGCAGACTCTGCTGCTTCCAGCAGCAAACAGAACCCGCGTGCCTTCTCTCCGTCAGGCCGCAAAAACTTTCCTGAGCATCGCTTTCATTTCCCAAATCATTAATAATTATCTTTTACCCAGTGCAAGGCCCTTTGGGTGCAGCCTTTGCTCCCGCGGATGCCCAAGAGCGCAACCCGAAATCCTTCGCCCAAAACCTGGAGACGGGTTCCCATTTGACCTCTGAGCCGAGGTGAGCCGGAAACGGAGGCCTGGGCCCCGAAGGGGAAAGCGAAACTCCGAGCGGAGCGAACTCTTCTCCGTTTAGTTCCTTTCTCTCGCATCCCCAGCGCGGGCCCCGCAATCACCCCGGCCGACTCACGAAAGATTCCGCAGGCTCACCTTCCGAACCCGCTGTCCCAGAGAGTCCGGAGGCCGCACCACGGATAGAATAAACCAGAGACCTCAACTAGTGTTGAGAAGCTCCATTCTTTCCCCAATGACTGGACAGTTAACGGGAAAGAGAGACTTGGAGATACAACCGTCCTCCCTTCTTCCGGAGGACTGAGGCTTTTCCCGAACCACCCCCAGCTCGGTTTTCTCCCGAAATGTGTTTTCCTCATTTTGCAAAATTCCTGCCCAGATTTTAATATTACCATACCTAGGAGAACAGAGCTTCCCAGTTTAAAAATCGAAAACAATAAAACCAGGGCGTCCTCTGTGAATCTTTTCCTTTCACTCTTGCCTTCTACTTTTAAGAAAGCCGCATCCCAAACCACCATACTTCTTTCCTCCCCGAAGAGAACTCGCCTAAGAATTCACTCCGTTTCCGTTTCTCCCCCGACGTGTCCCCGCCTGACTCAGATCTCCATGGAAAGCAGAAAGTAGGTAGAAGTGCGGATAGGGCTGGGAAAATTAGTAAGAATTGTAACAACAGTGGAAATGATGGCAAAAGTTAACTTTAACCAACTCGTTTTGCAAAAAAAAAAAAAAAAAGGTCAGACTGAGGGTGGGAAAATCTCTCCCTTCTCAGGGGGTCATTTTGCCTGCTGCCTACTTAAATCTGGCTTTATTATGTTTTTTTCCAGGACTTTAGTATCATCCTTCCCAATGTCTTCTTCAGTTCTCGGTTTCCTGCCTTTTGACCAGAAGAATTCGCAAATACTGGTGGTTATTATTATTTCAGAATATCCAGTATTCTCCAATATTTCCACCAAGAATTAGCACTGCTACTTACTTTACCAATTAAGCATGTTGATGTTGTTTCTTGTGCTTTGGAAATGTCCGTCCCCACTCCCTCAAATTTGGGGGATGAGACTCCTCCCCACGACGACCACCAACCCCCATCAGGTTAATGAAATAAGAAATGGCTGTGGGAACATTGTTCTAGAGACTCAGCAAAGCTATCAGTGCTGGAGATTCCCAAGCTCCAGAAGATCGGAGAAGGCAGCATTACTAGGATGCAAAGGAGCCCCAGATCTTGCCCCCTTCTGATTTGGCAAGTCCACAGTGGAAGAGAAAGTTGAGGTCTTGAGCTGAGAAAGCCTGGAACAACCCCCACTCCCCAGCCCTATCCCGTAGGCTGCTCTGAGCCTGAAAACTTCAACTGTATATGCAGCCCAAAACGTGCAGAAAGGCCTCTGCATTTAGCCACCAGGTCTGTAGTCAGAATGTCCCCACAGTCCCCAGAAGAAGAGGGGGGGACAGACTACATTCCAGGGCTCTGGCTCTGTAAAGATAGAGATTTAGGGTAATACCTCCAGGTCTGGGATGCAGGCAGTGGGGTAGGGGGGCTGTCTGGATACCCCCCTCCCTCATCTGGAGGGTGCAATGGAAACTTGGGAGCTCGCTGCTCTCCGGGGCTCTGGAAAGACAAATTTTCTTTGGCAAAAGGAACGGTGTCGCGCTGTCGACACGGCAGACTATTTTTCTTGTTTCCTCACAAGGAGGGAGGGGGCAGAAAAGAAAGCAAGAAAGAAAGGGAAATTAAATCCACACGTGTTAAGCTTGCTCAAAGGGCCAAATTCAAAACCAGAGACAAAACTCTGGAGTCCTCCAGTGCGGGCAGCCCGAGGGGCCTCTTTCCAGCCAGCCCCGGCCTCCTGGAGCCCAGCGTCCCCACCAGAAAGAATTCGATCCTATGTTTCATAAAGCATTTTATTTAAGGGGGAAGGGACATGGTTTCTGTCTGTCTACCGGCAGAGAGGCAGACATGTAGCAGAAAAAAAGAGAGATGGCCGGTCGTGAGAATAATGAACTCGTTAAAGAAAGCCCAGCTTGCTGTCTCCCAATCAACCCAGTGATTCAGGTCATCATCACCCTATGGCCAAAGGGAGTTAGGCCAGTGCTATGGGAGATCAATAAATTCTTATCAAGCCTTGGGCCTACCTGTTTTAAGAGAAACTTAAAGGCTGTTTTACGCAGCGGGAATAGCCAAGTTCATTTGCGGAGCTAAGCCGCCTCTTCTCTTTCGGGGAGAAACTTCCGGAAAAGGAACTGTGCAGGGGTAGAAGGAGGTGGAGAATGAAGGAGGCCACCCCGCCTGGAGCTGCGAGTGAAAACTGTAGTAATGACCTTGAGGAGGTGAAGGGAGGCGGGTGGGGGGTGCGGGTGACGAGGGCGGCCAAACCCCAAACTGGAAGGATCCGTCACCGAAAGGATTGCTTGGTCGAGACCTCTAATTTTTCTTCCCTTTCAGCTAGGGCCGCGAGTGCCGCCGCGGGTCTCCTCTGGCCTCCTGGTGCTGGGTATCTGGCTTCTGGGGGCAGCCCCAACAGAAGGGTCCGGAAGTAGGGACCCCGAACATCTCACTCCCCCATCACACCCACAGTCACATCCGGAAAACACTGGGGTGAAACCGACAGAGGCTGGCCGTGGGGTGCGACTGACAGGTTCTTAGTGGAAAAGTTCCCGGCAATTGTTTCCGCAAGGGTCCTGGGTTTCCTGGTCGCCATGGCAACCCCGGAGTCCCCCCTCCAACGCTCTCGACCACCGGGCGCCCGGAGGACAAACGCCGGGCACTTTGGCCGCGCGCTCTGAGGCCTGCAAGGCGCTTCCGCCCTTTGCTTTGGGCTTTCCGGAGGCTCTCCTGTGGATTCAACACGGCAGGGATTGAAAAAGTCCTCCCTTTTTTTAAACGGGGGAGAAAATCTAGGATTTCGTAGAATCTCTGCCGGGTCGGTTCAGGGGTCTCCGGCAAAAGCTCCCCATTTTTGAACTGAGAGCAATGACTTCCACGAGATGCACGCCCACACAGGGAGTTGGATGCATTCATCCAAGCCCGCATCCTGAACTTGGGGGGAGGGGGTGGAACGAGGGAGGGGGGGTGGCTGGGCTTTGAGGAATCTGGGGTCTCTTAACATTCATTGGTCTCCCCCATCAGCACCGGAGGGTCCCCAAGTCCTTTCCAGGCAACCCCTTCTCCTGCCTGGAATAAGGTCTCCTAAGAAGGAGGAGAGACATGGGGCAGCATTAATGTTTGCAAGATCTTGAGGGAAAAAAAATAAACTATACTCCTTTTTAAAGGAGAAAAATATTCGATTGTGGATGTACTATAAAGAGCATTAAATAATATTTGGAGGTTGCAGTCAGTGCTTTCTCAAAACTGCTGGCAAGGGAAATGCCCCTCCTTGTTGGTGGGGCTGCGGATGGACAATGATGAACAATAACAGGGCGGCTTTTCTGTTCTCCTTTCTGAGGCAGCAAGCTCTCAGAAAGAACTGAGGTGCTGACCAGCTTGGGCAGCCAGGTTTGGTGGGATGGAGGGAGCCAGAAAAGGGTTGGCCTCTGGAGGAGATCAGTTCCTGCCCTGGGTCTGTCTGGCCTTCCCTTGTTTCACTCTGCTGTGGACCTCATTCATCTCCTAGCTGTCCAGGAAAGCCAAAACTCCTTTCCATTTCCAGGGGGGCAACGATTGTCCCCAAAAGCTCTTGGCTGGCCTTGCAGGGCCCCTACCCACTTTTCCCCTCTCTGAGTCTGAAATACAGCCTGCAATGTTTCCCTTAGCACACCCAAAACCCCATCTTCTTTCCTCCCCAGCATTTTCCATTCATATTTTCAGAAGAGTCCTGCTCACGTCCACACAGTCACCAGGAGAGAGGCTCAAATAGCCATTCAAGTCATTAGTACCGGAGGTGCCATCATAGCTAACGTTCATGGCAGGCCAGGGGCTCTTGTAACATGGTCTCACTAGTTCAGCTCCTTCTAAATAGCTCCATGAGACGGTGGCTCCTGGCCAGTGGCACTCCTGTGGGGACCTGAACCCAGGCATTCAGACTCCAGAAGCCAGGAGCTCCTCTTTTATGAGACAAGTCAGGGAAAGGGAAGGAACAGGATGGTGGGAGGCAGGGTGCAAAGAGCACTTTGTAAGCATCCAAAGGAAGAGTCAGGCGGTTGCTCCCTCACTTGTGGGAGAAGGCTTAGATCTCTTTTTGTGTCTCTCTCCTCTCCCCCACTCTCAGGGAGGAGGCAGAGGGACTCAGAAGAGGGCTTTTGGGCACACAGCCCCAGGTCCCCCGAGCATTTTGCAGGATGGGGAGAGCGGGGGGAGGAGGATGGGAATCCATTGCCGCCTCCTCTCCAAACCTCAGCGTCCTGTTCCCTGGCCCATATTCCTCACAGTTTCAAGCCAGGACACTCCGTCCCCTGGAGGGAGAGAAACAGGGTGGGTGGGATGGAGAAGGAGAGGAGACATGCCTGGCTCCATTTTTGGAAACACATGATGAAGCTCCGAGAGGGTAGGGAGAGTCACACAGCCTGTGCTGGAAATTCACCCAGCTACCTGCTCATCCCTAGGCTTCCCACGTTTAGGTACAGCCCAAGAAGGGATCTCAGCCACTTCTCCAGGGAAGAGCGAGGTGGTGCTTGGAAGTACAGGCTCAGCTGACTGAAGTTGGAGCCAGCCTGGGGTGCCCCGGACGCTCCAGCTCTCTCAGGATGGAGCCAGTGTGCCAGTGGTGGGTCTCAGGGAAGCCCTGGATGTCTTAGGGGCCCCAGACCTGGGATCCAGAGGAGCCTGCGCCTGGCATTGATCCTACAGCCACCCCAGTCGTGCCTGCGTCACCTTCCCACTTCTAGACCCTTCTTCCTGCTGCCTGTTTGCCCAAAAGCATACCTCTCCCAAGCTGGCTCTGGGCGCAGCGCTGGCTGCCACGAAGCCCAGTTAGGAAGGGAAGGACTTCTCTAGAAATGCGGCAACTCTGAGATCCAATGAGATCCAAGCCCCACGACTACCCCAAGGGAGGCACAAGTGGTCTTCAGTTTCCAGATTCCTCTCTGGACCTGCCAGCTGCCATGGCCGGCCGCCTTGGCCGATGCCTCCCACCTCCATGCAAAATGCCCATTCTGTTGGGTTGCCCTGTCTCTAGGATCCCCGATAACTCCCATGCACCCCCAACTTCCAGGACCGTGGTGGACCAGACACCAGCTGGGTTGTTTGTGTTTTCTCCCAGACCTCTGCCATGCCAGTTCTCCGACAACAGCTGCCCCAAGGAGGAGAGTTACCAGCTCCTGGTGCACCTGAGGGATGCCCAGGATCCAGGAGTGGGTGCCTGATCCCACAACACCTGAATCTGTGCACAGGCAAGGGCTGATCCTAGCTCATCCCCCAACCTCCTCCCCAAGTTTCCATCTTGTAACAAAGCTGGAGTTGCCCCTCCCCACCTGGAGAGGTGGGCTGTCTGTCTCCTTGCGTGGGGCTGAAGAGGACAGTATCTTTAAATCTCTCTAAATGGCAGTGTGTTACTTGAGGAGGGACTGTGTGTGTCTCTCTGCTGTTGTGTTTGTGTGTGTGTGTGTCATTGTGTGGCCTTCCTGTAGGGAGCACTGAGAATACACACACACATATTTTTGTGCACCTCCTTATGTGAAAACACCCTCGAGTATCCAGCGCTGGGGTCCTGAGTGTGTGTGGCGCAGGCTGGTGTGAGTCCGTGTGTCCTTGCAGAATGCCCTGTGTGTGTGTGTGTGTGTGTGTGTGTGTGTGTAGCCTGCAGGGCAGCCACCACCCAAACATCATCGTGGGGCAACTGGTGTCCTGGGCTCATAACCCAGTGTTCAGCTACCCTCCTTTTTTTATGGGCCACTTTTATGATTATTATTTTTACCAACGGCTCCAAGTGGAGGTCTGTGCGCCTGGGCCGCCTGGAAGGCAGTCACAACTCGGCCGTTCAGCCGGGAGGCCAAAGGGGCCGTGTCCAGGCAGCCTGGGCCACCGGAGTCTATATTTGGAAACAAATTCCACAGTCACTT